AGCCGGTATAAGTACCGGTGACACGTACGGTACTAGGGGCATTTCTGCAAAGGCCCCGAGGGCAGAACTGAAAAATGCAGTATTTGAAAGTGGCGCCCGAATTGCAGCATGGCGCCAGTTGTCCAAAATCCTATGGTACCAAAGGAGGGGTTTGGAAAAAGGGTGCCAGGCCGAAAACGGGATGCAGCCGAAACAGCAAAAGATAGACCAGGGATCGAGCCCTGGCGAAGTCCGTAACAGCTATGGCCGCCGTTCTCCATCTCTACCTCTAGCCTAGCTATGGAGTATCGCACAAGCACCCTCGTCTTCTTCAGGCGCACACTGCCACAGTTGCCTTGACGCACAAGCAGAAGCAGCGCTTTAGCATCTCGCAACTGAACAAGTGATGAGCCGCTGCACTGTAGCAGCTAAATATACGATTTGGCTTTGCTTTGCTCGACTTGGCTTGGCCAACTTCAGTCCCGTACCGGTCGGCCGCGGCCTGTCTGCTGCAAATATTTTGTCGGTCCGGTAGCTTCCGGACTTTCCTGGGACATGCTGCAAAATTGGACTTGGGACTGTCGGACCGGAATGGACTCTTCCCGACTTTTCTCGCTGGGTATCGGACGGACTCCTACCAGCCTATGACGTTTTGGTATCCACACCTACCCACCTACGACGTTTCGGACTCCTAGACCCTACGGCCTACCCTACTGGACCGCCCTGGGACTGGGACTTGTCGGGACCCTGGGACCGGGACTGGATGTCTGCCGTGCATACCTAACATGAAACGGTTTCAACCAGTTGACCTGACATTGCAGTCACAGAGATTCGATTCCTAGACCTGTGCCACAACCCTGTACATTGATCCCGTGTGCTGAGTGAGATTCGATCCCTAGACCTACCCTATACCTGTACATAGACCCTGTGTGCTGCGTAGGATTCGATCCCTAGACCTGTTCCACATCCCAGATTAGTCTGTAGTTTGGGCAGCAGGACTTGATCCCTAGGTCTGTAGATTAGCAGCTAGTCTGTTACCGATAGGCTTAGGAAGTTTGTCCTAGAAGTATCTCCGAAGTCTGTTGAGGACTGGAATCTGTCTGTAGGTCTGTATAGTCTAGAAGGTCGTAGGTCCCTGTAGGCCAGTCCAGTCAGCAAGTACCAGGGGTAAGGGCTGCACGTGGGGAAGGTTCTGGAGCACGCTGTGGGTTTCACACGTTTTGGCCCAGAAGGCCAAACGTCTGGAAACTTCCCTGGGCCACACGTTTTGGCCCTGGCCCATACGTTTTGAGGCAGGCCCGGGTACCTCCAAAGAGGTATAAATAAAAGAGGCACCGTCCAGCCATTCATTCAATCGCCTGTGTGCCATGCAGAAGAGCTGCCTTGGTATCTTGTGCGTGGAGGTCTGCAGGTGCCCAGAGAGGAAGTGGGCTGTGAAGACGACATCGGCCATAGCCGCCCAGCTGTTGGTGTAGACGAGTGTACAGAGTGTGTGAGGCTGTGCTGAGTGGGGACACCGACGGCCATAGCTAGGAGGAGGAAGACGACAGCGGCCATAGCCGCCCAGCTGTTGNAGTGTACAGAGTGTGTGAGGCTGTGCTGAGTGGGGACACCGACGGCCATAGCTAGGAGGAGGAAGACGACAGCGGCCATAGCCGCCCAGCTGTTGGTGTAGACAAGTGTACAGAGTGTGTGAGGCTGTGCTGAGTGGGGACATTCAGGGTGATCCTCGTACGTGCATACATGTGAGAGTGAGGGAGAGTGAGGCTGGTGGTAGAGAGTGTTCGGCGGCCATAGCCGCAAGTTGTACAGTTGTTCTGAACAGAGTTTAAGAGCAAGTTCATTGTTGCTTCTGAGTTGGAAGAGTTTGGTTTGCCATTGGTTCTCAAGTGTGCATGTCGTGAGCAAGTCCAGAGTTGAGTCTGATGGCAAACAAACTAACTGTTTTTTTTTTTCTTTTTTCAAGGGATGACCTTGAGATATCATCATCAAACTGAACAGCCCCAGGTAATTCAGAATTGTAGTATTTTATTCCTCTGTTTCTAGTGGAGTTTGAACTCAGGTCTGGATTTCAACAGTTAAGGAGTTTACCGATTGAGCTAGGCCAAACTAACTCACACACAAGGAAATGGAAATTCCGAATTTCAAACTGAAAGCTTTATCTGTGCATCCAGCACCTGCGACTCTAAGTCCGCTTAGAATGAACAAGTTCATACAACTGCCACTTTCAGTTGCAGGGAGAAGGGGAGGAGATTCGGAGTAGTCCAGGCAGTCAGCTTCATAACCTGCATTATCCTGAGGATTTGGTGTACGGCACCAGGTTGGGAGTGGGGAAGGAGATTACAGGCTTTTGGTGCAGGAGGTTCAAAGTTGGCCAGGAGCGGCAGGGTCGGAAGGGCGCAAAAAAGGACATGAACAGAGGGAGCTCTGAGAAAGACGGGGGAGATTCGCACCTGTCAAACAAGAGCTTTGGCTGCGCAGATGGATCATCATCTCCAGGCCTGATAACCTGCAATTCTCAAAAGCAGAGGTCCAGTAGTGAAATTGAAAATTGAATTAGTCTTAGCAACCTATCGATGGTAAGGTCGTCGATGGGAAAAAAAAAAAAAAAAAACAAGGAGCAGACTATCGATGGAATTGAAAAGTCTGACTAACCTGCAATCAGACTCGTTTTCAAACACACTTTTCACACATGTAAACAGTAACGCAGCACACTGGCGACATGCGCCCACTCAAAACTCAGAGATATGGCTTCAGATACGAGTTCACTCTCAAGTGGCTATGGCGACTTCAGCGCCCAAACATCTCACTGTTCACATACACTGGATCACCCTGGATATCCCACACGCATCACTCTAACACTCGAACACACACACACTCACTACTAACTACAGCTATGGCAGCTATGGCTGCCTCTAA